CACTGGTCATACCAGGTCAGGTCACAGGTCAGGTCACCAAAGGTCACCAAGGGTCACCACATGAGCCCAACTTTACTAAGGTTATGCGATGCATGTTTTATGGCCAGTTTTTCATTTCCAACTCAATGGTGTTGGTTATAAGACCATCAGGTACGGTTTAGGTCACTTTCTGGTGGAGGTCAGGTCAAGGTCAGGTCAAAAAAGGTCAAATTTCAAAGTTGATATTTTTGCATAAAATGGGTATCGATTCGATGCAGCTCGTCACAGGGAGTCTAATGGTGGTCTTTGTTTTGCGCTACGAGCTAGAATTGCTAAAAATTGAGGTTGAAAATTTGACGTCATCAATTTTGAACAGTTTTTTTCGCTATAACTTGACCAAAAAAGAGGTATCGATCTCAAATTTGGTATGTAGATAGAAGGCGGTAAGGACTATCACATATATTCCGGTTTTTCGAAATTCAAAAAACTTTTTGGATTTTTTGGCTATTATATTTAAAAAATCTAATTTTTGATTTTTAGGGGTCCAAATCCAAAAAATTCGAAAAACCAAAATAACAGTTTTGTAGCCCTTTCGATTCCACACCTTTTATGTCTGAAACATTTTTCTGTATCTCTAAAGCTGTAGGCCTGACAGCTCTTCCCGCGAAACTTTTTTTGGGTCGAAAATGGCAAAAATGACGTCACTCTGACGTCATTAGCGGCCAACCAATCATAGCCTTTGGAAAAAAATTGGTCACCATGTGCGCTAGCTGCTCCCGGGAGGGTACTGAAAGTTTGGTGACGATCGGCGCAGCGGTTCTCGAGATATATTGAAAAAACTAAAGGGGGGGGGGGGCAAAAAAATGCCCCCCACCGCCTGGAAGGTTAAGATCAAGAACAAAAACGCAAAAACGCAATGCAATGTTGACGCAGTACAATATTTCACTATCATTGCATGCGCCCAAGTTTTCCCTAAGGGCCTAAACTCAACATTTTTTTTTTTTTACAGCGAGTTGCATGTCATTAGGGATTCAAAATGAACGATATACCACCGTTACCCTGAATATGGTAAGCAGAGGCCAGTTTTACCAACAGTAAAAGCGCCGGCGACGGTTATTCTTGCCTTCCTGAATTTCGCTAGCCACACCGATAAAAATATCGGCATCCGGCAATTTTTTATATTAGTCAAACTAGCCTCTGATCTCCGTGTTTAGTGGCCTCATCTCTCTACCTAGACAGAAGCCGGCGCCGTCCAGCTCATGCTCGTAACTCCCCATCCCCACCAGGAGAGGGGAGGGGAGATTTGGAGGCAGGCCAGCCGGCGGCGATGCTGGAATGCGACCCTCCCCCCCCCACTGCTGGCGCCGCCCACTGGGGGTCTAGTCGCCAGGTCTGAGGGCGTGGGGGGGGGGGGTGCATGATCTCAGCTGTTCGAAGAGAGAGAGGAGGGGAAGAGGTAGGGTGCTATGTAAACAGTGTTTCCTGCGCAATGTCACGGAAAGAGAGTTGCGTGCTTATTATGTTTTTGTTAAGCGTGCCGAGTGAAATTGAGTTAAGTATGAAATTTGAATTGAAGTGTGCTGAGTGAGACTGTTTCTGCCTGGAAAATCTATTGCACTTATCACATACATGCTCGTATATCAGAATGCAAGTCAACTCATAAGATACCATGCGTTACATTTTGCTTAATAAGGATAATTTACTAAGTAACACAAATGCTGATTGCAAGCATCGTTCACTGAGCTAGCAACAATGCGTGGCATTTACATAGCACAATCAAGCGCACTGTTTGGAGTAAAACATGCCTTTGATATGCGCCGGAAACACCTAGTTGAACCCGATCTCTCAGATATTAATGACTTATTGAGTGCTGACGGCTGGGTTCCTTTGGAAATGGGAGTTCCTAGGGAGTTTCTAAGCTCCCGTGGTAGTTGATTCAAGTGGAGAACACCAATGGAGAAGGATTGGAGAGCACTTGGTAGGGGAAATACATCACCATGCAATGTTAATGAACTCGTTAGCGCGGTATGGGAGCGTCGATATACAGAGGTCTTAGGTTCGATGTAGCATGTCATCCGATTTTGCGTTATATGTATCTAATACAGGGCTATCTAGTGTCTACGATATGTATTTTTGTCATGCTAATTTGCTTTCGAACTTTCCAAAGAGTTCATCTTCATCAAGTGATAACTAAAAGTATTGATATACAAGTTGCATCGATAAGGACATATCGATATGTATATGTCGATATATCGATGTGGTCTGTCGGCACCTCTTTATCGATATGAAAGGCCAAAGCTGTCGTCAATTGACTTGTCCAAGCAATAATGCCCTCCAGTAATATGGTGATATAAAATAATGTTATTATACCACAATACCGGTATGATCCCAACCGGGATTCCCTGCCAGGCAGACAAGGCATGAATGGGTCCGAATGGTATGCCAATAACTCTCATGAGGGACAATGGGAAGAAGGTGATGCCAGTGCGATCCTTACCGTCGCATGGACACTGGGCAGTGAGTTCGTGTAAGACTAAGGGAAAAGCCCTTTCCGGCATGGAATAGAGACGGTGTTGTTACGATGGCTGGATTCGCAATTTAATTTTTGTGGCTGTGGGCATATAGGTATTTGGATTTTACCTGCAACACTACTATTGTGCGTCATACAAGGCAAAGGATATTAAAGATATTTATATTTTTATCTGAATTTGAAATGGAAATTAAATCATTCAACGGAGTGATTACTGAGTCTGACTATCCCGTTTCAAATGTCTTATCACCAACCTTATAATTGTGTCGGGTTTCATAGACAATGGGCATCGGGCAATAGGGAATGGGTACGTAGCAAAACCGTGGCAATTACTGCTCGAATTCAAGATAGCAGCCAATCAACAGCTGCTGCAAAAGTTTGGCTGACTCAGTTTAGCTTAGTTCATTTTCAAAGCAGTAGTGACTTATACAGGTCAATCATTTATATAAATATTAAACTGTTTATGTCATTATGATGTACCCGTACATACTAAATATTACACCACAAACAACGCATATATGTGTCGTACTCGTATGATGGGTGTCATATAACTAATGTACCGTAATTATACCTAATATTGCAAATGTGCTACTAACACTACATTTACAAACCATCCTATGATTCACTTGGCACCTTAACTCCGAAGTCCGAAGGGACATCTGATCTAGCAGATCACGTGAGCTTTCTCAATCGTCCTGACTCAGACCTGCTATAAACATTGGGTGTGCTGCAGCCAACGGCGTCAGCCCCGGCTGTCAGGGCATTTGGTCCGAGCTCGAGCTGCAGGATTTACGGGAATACCCGCGAGGTCAAACCTGGCCGGGCTCGTGGCTTGATATGGAGCTGTGGGATTTTTATAAAAATAGCCTAGATGTTACCGTACATGACGTTTGATACCCTTCTAACCTTCAGATATTATCGTTCATTAACCCGCGCGGGGCTGGGGGGTAAATTTTACCCCCCCTCGCGAATTTTTGCGATATCTCAAAAACGGCGGCGCGCAGCGCCGCCAAACTTTCAGTACCTTTTCTTACATCAATTTGACACGTTCCCTGAAAATTTGAGCGAAATCCGTCGGAAATTTTTGAGAAATTGACGTTTTAGTGACGTCATGTTCGTCATTTTCGCCTCAAAAACGGCAAAAGTTCAAACGCCGCTAACATCTTCATTTTTAAAGGAATCAAGACGTAACAAAAAAGGTTATACGTAATTCTACTTTGTCTATCAAATGGCTATCTCGGTTTTTTGAAAATTTTGGATTTTGGCCTAATTTTTTTCAAAAAACTGACTTTTTTGGAAAAATCATTATAAAATCCAAAATTTTAAGTCTATCGAAAAAACCGGAATATATGTCAGAGAAGTGGTCTATGTGCACCTACATACCAAATTTTAGAAGAATCGGTTCAAAAATGTGGGAGTTATTCAAAATTTTATGACGTCACGACACACAATTTTTTTGAAAAATGACTTTTTTGGAAGTTCTAGACCTCGTACGGAAACAAAAATAGCACCATTCGATTCGCCGTGAAAAACTGCATCAGATAGACACCTTTTTAGGCCTTAACAACCAACTTCAAAATTTGACCTCACTTGACCTGACCTTGACCTGACCTCGACCTGAAACTCATCCAGAGGTGGTCCATATCACTTATTGAGTGTGCCTATTGAATTCTATGAGTAAAATGACCCATAAAACATGTGTCGCACATGCCCTTTTCTATATTTTGTTTTTTGGTGACCTGACCTGACCTGACCTGACCTGACCTGACCTGACCTTGACCTCTGAATGATATTGTATGCAACGAATATTGTCTTGGTAGCCTAAGAACACGTTTTGGGCGATCAGTCTCAGTCCATGACTCCATTCTTCGGCAACTACGGTGCAAGGCCGATACTGTAGAAACTTGCAATTTGTACCCTTGACCTGACCTTGACCTTGACCTCAAACTTTAAATTAAGTACATGTTTTTAGTAGTTCGTGATGAGAGCTTTCGATTGGCGTTTGAATTTTCCAAATCGGACCGTTAGTTCGGGAGATAACAGGGGGGGGGGGTAAAATTTACCCCCCCCCCCAGCCCCGCGCGTTCGGCTGGAGACCCCAGCCCCGCGCGGGTTATAGGCCCACACAGGCGTAAAATCTAATCCAAGGGCACAGGAAGGCACGGGAGTTAGACTTTTTTTACGCGACAATTATTTTGTACTCACCTGGAGGCTGCCTTCATCACGATTCACATTTTGTCGCTAAAAGCTAGTCGCTACCTTGCGTGAAAACATATTTGGAAGCATTACATTGCGTATTAAATTGTGGATGTAACCACAAATCGTTAAAACTTCAAGCTATCCATACCAGGCACTTCCAAACACCGATTCCATATCAATTATAACGAGGTGTAATCAATTTCATGTATGTTATCAAGTGACAAAAATAACAAAATATTCCGCTCGGTGAGATTTGAGCCTGCATCTCTGTAAGACTGTCACCCCCTCTCACCTGGTCGACAATCATGTCCTTCTCATGGTGCTCCTGCAGAATGGCCTCTTCCACCTGCAGCTCCATCTTGGACTTCGGCTTGACAAACGTGGTGGCCGGTAGGTAGCTGGTCGGAGACTGCACCGTCTGTTGTGACATGGACAATGAACATGTGTCGGATGCATGCATTGGAACGTTTTTGGGACATGCATTGGATGATAGTACTTGTATAATTGGAACTTCTTTGTTTGAAAATGGATACATCTCTATAATTATCGGACAGAGCATTATAACTGTGGCTGATTGGATTATGGAATTATACCTACTTCTTCATCTTCATTCTAGTTCTTCATTCTTCATCTGTTGCTTTTACTGTGCATATGCAATCACTGTCCTTCGTGGTGGTCATCGAACTTAATGAATACAGATAATCTTCATCTAAACATTCCGTGTAACTAAATTGCCATAGTATATATGTAGAAGCGCGAAAGACTATCATGACTTTACTTGAAAGATGTTTTCATTACCTTAGTTACTTAGTACTTACCTTTATCATGCTCTCATCATCATAGTTACCTCACTAATAGCATCACAGAGCGCCTGTGACCAGCCTACAACAAAACCTCATCCCACCTCCAGTTTTTGACACTCATGGCGCCCCGTTGACATTCACGCCGCACCTGATTCTGCTGCGTCTCGGGCGGCGCAGAGCTCGCCCTAGCCTCTGCCAGGGCCGCCCTAGCCTCTGCGGCAGCCTCAGCGGCCGCATGATGTCTCTGATCGGCGCTTTGGTGGATCAGAGCCCCCAGCGAGAGAGGTGGCTTCTGATCGGCCTGGGGTTGGTGGTAGTAGTAACAGCAGCAGCAGCAGCAGCAGCGGTAGTAGAAAAAGCGCCAACACGAAGATGCATATGTTGCAGAAGTTGCAGGAGCAGTGTTAGAAGAGCAGCAGAGAGCAGTGCAGTTAATGGTTAGCAGAGCGGGAGCAGCCACATCGGGGGAGGAAGGAGAGGGGGTAGGGGGGGGGGTGAGAAAACAAGAGGAGAGTTGAAGGAGAATTTGGGAGATATTTGCGATGAGCCTGATAAGGTAAAAGCGGCAAGGGCGCGATTGAAAAAAATACGTCAAGATTGGATGGTGACATCATAAGCCTTCGCTTAAAAACAAGAGAATGCTGCAAGGAGAGAGTTTGCGAATTTTCTCACCCTCGATCCCAGGAACGTATGTGATTATTGCGAATAAGAAATGTGACACAATGTTACATGGAAGATTGAAAAGGAGACAATGCCAAACGATGCTTCGGAGAGGGGGGGAGAATGAAGACGAGAACGGAGAGAGGGAGAAAGAAGAAAGAGGAGATAATAAGGCAGAGGAAAGAGAGCGAGGTAGACACAGCAATTTGACAGATCTTGTTAGAAAATAATCAAAACATTTTAGCAAGACGGAGAAAAAATAAATAAACACGATATGACATTCATGAAAGTGTGAACACTGCCAATGCATGGTAATTGTTATTTATGTTTGTGCTCATTGCGTTCTAAAAACCCCTTTATGGTTTTTGTTTGATTAACTAATATGCATGCAATACAGCTATGTGCAGAGGATATGGCAAGAGAAGCGCCAGTGCTAAGTTTTCGACTAGATGGTGAATATGGTCACATCTCAGCTACATACGGAAAAGCTTATGAATCTACGGTACTGGTAAGCTATGGCCGGACATTAATGTTCATTTACGGATAATGCACCAATCTTTTTGCAAGCTATAGGGTATTGCAATTTCGATCAGTAGTTTTTTGTGGGTTGCAGCTAATTTAAAGACGTCCTAAGCACTGCTGATTTTTTTTTACAGTGCTTCGGTTTTCTTAAGAAGCGTTGAAATGTATTGACTTTAGATATGCCTACTGAATTAAAATTGAATGGGACAACAGTGAATTATGAAAAAAGGTATGCTTAAAAGGCTTAGTGTGAACAACATGTCATAGATGATTATCACATCAACAATCAACATGTATGTATGTGCCTTTTATGGCTTTGCAATGCACTTAGATGTGCATTTTAACTACAGCTACCATTCAACATAGGACATTGGCAACCGATGACATCTTCATATTAACCCTCGCCCGCACATGGGGGGGGGGGGGGGGGGTGGTTGCCACCCCCCCCCCCCAGGTAGTCTTTCTGCTCTGCACTCAACATTTTTAGAGCTAGAAGGCTGATTTTCCGTATAGCTGCTCCTCTATCCTTTCTTGATGTCCACTGAAAATTTCAAGTTTCTGTGACTTTTGGTTTCGGAGATATGACCTTGTTTTTCAGGTCATGTCATGACCCAAATGGCCAATTCTCGACATCTTGCGTTGGCTATGGGCCTTGTGAGCTTTTGACACCTTGATTTCGGCCTTTTTTACCAGTCTTACCTCCCACCTATCATGGAACATGTTGTTCGACAATGTACAGATGTCAAGGTCAAGGTCAAGGTTAACCTAGGTCATCTAAGATAATTGCGTTTTAGGCAAGCGGAATTTACTTTTGAATATGTTTCAACGCTAACTTGAGAGACATTGTAACAAATAGTAAGAAAATTAACCTCACTCTCATTCTATCTAAAAGTAAATTCCGGATTCGAAATAATACAAACTTTTTGAGAAGCTTTCGGCATTGCGCCATCATCAGCTCTCCTGAGAGCTGATGATGGCGCAATGCCGAAAGCTTCTCAAAAAGTTTGTATTATTTCGAATCCGGAATTTACTTTAAGAATTTAGATAGAATGAGAGTGAGGTTAATTTTCTTACTATTTGGAATTTACTTTTTGTGAAGTTTTTTGACTGCATTTTTGGTAAAAGCTTCTCAGATCATGATTTCATGTAATATGGACACATAAACAATCGGTGCACACATCAGTATACACACAGACACACACTAGGGTGGCACTAAAACTGGGCTAAAATTTCGTTTTGAGAATTTTCAACGGGACGGGCAGCCAATCTGTTCTACCACCCGAGAAAACGTTGTGTGTAAAATATTTTCGGAAAATATGTTTATTTAGAGGTAGCTCAACCAGGTGAAAGTTCACATTTTCGTAAAAAACGCAACTTTGCCGAAATTTTAATTTTCACGTGTATTTCTGATGTTAACCCGGCGGCCGCTGGGCCTCCGCGCCACCCGCCGGCCGCTGGGGGGGGGGGGCATATAGTTGCCCCCCCTTTACTTCTGCGACGATATCGTCGCAACGCGAGGAGATAGAGAAGCGAAACTTTGCACACATCTTCCTGAATACCTAGCCGAGGTTGTGTCCAAATTTGGTGTCGATCCCATTTAAAATGACGTCACAGTGACGTCATAGGTGAAATTATAGATTTGCGACTCTCATATTCCTCACGATACATCAGATATATGGAACCGAATATAAGGGGTCGATTATTGGTCAGAAACTAGATGGAAGTGTAGTTAGATGTTTTAGGATGACAGCAGGTGCTGTCTAGTTCATTTACAGTTGAGTTTCATGCTCAGCGTCATCAGAAACGGTCCATATCGGAAAACGACAAAACTTTATGACGTCACTGTGACGTCATCTTAGGTACTACAACCACCAAACTTTCCTCAAACATTGCCTAGGTATTCATTTGAAGCTATGCCAAGTTTCACGTTCGTAGCTCATCAGGTTTCGGAGATATTTCACAAAACGTAAAGGGGGGCAACTTTATGCCCCCCCCCCCAGCGGCTCGTGGGTTAACAATGACATTGGACGTTGCCAAGACTTTATCGAGACGTTTCAGCACCTAAAGCTCAGATATAGGTACATATGAGGCACATAATTCTTTTGAAGGTATGCATAACTTACTGTACAACTCCATGAAAAGAGAAAGCGGTATCATCCGTAATCAGCCAACACTTGTACACATCATTCGTCGGCTAGTCTTGCCTACTTAGAAGTTACGATCGCCTTGCGTATGTCAGAATGCTTGCGTCTTTGCTCCTCGACGACCTAAAAGAGGAGCTGCTGTTAGTCTTTATCCTTCGTGGGGGTCAGATCGATTTCCTGGCCATCAACAAAATACCTCGTTCCGAGAAGTCGTAGACGGCGTGAAATGACCTAATGTAGCGCATGACGGCGTTGTAGAATGGCTTGACCTCCCAAAGAATCAAATCCTTCAAGAGGAAGTCGTTGTCCATACCGAGGATGCTGAAGAAGCTTGTGAAGCCAGTTGTGATATGACGAAGTCTTCCGTGGACTTGCTAGAGACTGAAGCTATAGTAAAGGTGCACCACCGAGGACAGTGATGGCCAGCTCTAGCATCTCACGGTTGTCGCGTGAGTGCTGGCGGTCAAGGATATACGACCGAACTGTGCAAGAGCATTACGCGGGTTGTGGAGGTGGGATATGTCACAGTTTTTGAAGGTTTATGGCTTCGTTCCATCTAGACGCCCACTTTTTATGGAAGCGCTTAAACAAAACAACGTCCGGGCCGCTGGACGGGCCGAGGCAGGCTGAAGCTGAAAGTGTCTTTTATAGAACAAACTCGTAAATGTCGTGGCAAGTCAGGTGGAGCAAGTCCTGCTCGAGCCGCTGCTCGATGATCGTGCAGGCTCCTGTATTGAGGCTGGTGTTCGATGCACTTGTGTCAAAACTGAGCGCTTTCACTCAATCCTTTACTCTCACTCATCGAGGGATTCTCGAACAGCGTTTGTTGCGGCCTGTCAATTTGAGCCTGGCTAGCGAAAAATGTTCTGAAATGGCTTAGCAAAATACAACTTATCTTTTTCACGTGCACGTCTTCTCCCTGACATCACGAAGACACGGAGACCTGCCCTGTGGCCGTACACTGGCAGTGTCCCCCTGCGCATCAGTAAACGGGAATACATGAGCAGAATAAATGCGTATTACAATCGGATCACAATACTCAGCGAAGAAAAACCATTCCTGATACGCATTTATTTGCTCATGTAACCCCGGTAAGTGCTAGCAGTCTCGTGACCCTTCCCAACCACCGTAATACGAGAGAAGAGCTGAAGTTACACGCCTGGCAGCGGGCTACCGTCACCGAACAAAATAAGCTAAACTACGCTGAACGGCCATTGGTTGAATCACGCATTGCGTCACAGCGCGTTTGCGGCGAGAGACACTGTGGTTATGAAACAAATAGGAAGGCATCAATCATTCATTTAAACGTGTTACAGCTCAAATATGACAATGCTTGGAAAGGCGCGATACACATCTGAATCCCCGTTACAATATACGTTTTGTCAATATGCAGCAAGTATGACCCCATTGAGCTACCTCTAAATATAAATGTTTTTTGATAAAATTTCATACAGATCATTTTTTCGTGAGGTAGAACAAAATGGCCACCCGTCCCGGTCGAAATTAAAAAAGTCGAAATTAAGTGCCACCCTAACACACACAGACATACAAACACATATAATTGATCTTGACCTAACTTCACCTGAAATGACCTCAGCAGCAAAAACCTGAACGGGTAGTGTGAGAAAGAGGTTCTAGCTGGCTTGGCACCAGAAAACGGCATCGTCATCGGTATATGATAAGCAGCGCACTTGATATCAAACGGTGACCCAAAACAGCAACATTTTTTAGTTTGACCTGACCTGGAAGGTCAATGACTGACCTGAGAAGGTAAAACTGGGCATCATTGGATTTGTCTCTTCCCAAAGAATCTTTTTGGTCTTTACCGCTAAGCTCTATCTCCAACAGGAACGAAATGGCGCGGGGGGGGGGTGGCAACCACACCCCCCATGTGCGTTCTAGGATGGGAAAATGGCATGTGCGGGCGAGGGTTAACAATTTAAACAACAAAATGCATTACAATATTGCAACAGCGCGCGAGCGAAGAGAAGAGAAACATGCGAAAGTACGTATATCAAAGTAAAAAATGATTTTTTTTTAGAAGATGCGAAAAATGTCGCCAAAAATACAGAATTAATGAAAGCATTAAGAATGTCTTATTTACAATCCAAACCGAGCGATGTGTTTTAAACCCAACTTACTTGAAAATTCTTAAAGGACTGAGGCACGAGATACTGAAGCCGTCGCTAAAACATAATGAGTAAGTTAGAATTAGGTCAAATTATTCAAATTTAGCTGGATATTTCATATGTGTGGTCGTATAACGGTGTGATAGATGCTACAAGCAGACAAAAGTCGTGTCGGTCTTCACTTCCACAGCGACCTAAACAACGAGCCTTCTACTAAATCGCAGGTTATCACCTACATAACTATCTGCAAGTTCGTATGATTAAGAATGTCTTTGACAGTGGCATGCACTCCAGTAATAATTTTGTTATCATCTAAGCTATACTGTAAGCGTAACAAAACAGATCGAACAAAACTGGTTTTATCCAGTTTTCGAACAGGGTCACATGTCGTCAGGTATGACGTCACAAGCACCCAACTGTGCTCTAAAAGCCAACATCACTTCTACACTAAAAGCCAGCACAATCTCTCAACAGGTAGCGTGCGCAATAGGGAGGGGGGGGGGATCGCCAGGTCACGTGTGAGAAACTTACGTCGGAAAATTTTCGGGCAGGTGGTTTCCCGACTTGGTTAGGTTTCGGCTGAGCGGAGTGACCTTTTCCGAAAGGACCGTCTACCATCGTAGTTCGGGGAGTGCCAGGAGTTCCCGGGGTGCCCGGAGTGCCATTAGACACTCCTCTGAAATACAGAAACAACGATATGCTTGTGTCAACAAGATGTTGAGGACTGGGGTTACGGGGTAGGCAGTAGGCACTGATGAGAATCACAGACAATGATACTTTCGAGCTAGAGTCTAGCATTCAGGAAACGTAGATATCCGGCATGCGTATGCATACCCCAAGATGCGTATGCATACCCCAAGGATGCCTTTTGCAATACATATCCATGTCGTAAAAATTTGATCATTGAGCTGCTCAGTTTAAGTGATCAGTTTTAAAAGTCATGCCCAATTATGTTTAAGGTGAAGTTTGAAAATTTCTTTGTACTAGGAGCTTCCAGCCAATAAAAGGCTTGACGAGTTCATCAAAGGCATTATTCTTGACGCAATAAAGTGCTGCGTGCTGCCATCACAAAGCTTGGACGCATTATTCACCACCACTTTCCAATTCCCGACGGTGATATCTGCTACCGATAGCGTTCGATCGTTGTTATCAAATTTATTCCAGTTTACAAATCCCGTCTGATTTAGCCTTGTCACGTCACTGAAGTCTCGTTCATCGATCTTTTGCTGACGGGGCCGGGTTTGTGGGTCACTGGCAAGTGACATCCAATCCCCCCTGTCGACTCCCCCCCCCTCGCAGCTGCCGTGACCTCATTGCTCCCCCCCCCCCAGAGGTGATGACCGGGTCACCTCTCCGAAAGTTGGCTGCAGTTCGCCCCTCGCTCTGCCCATCGCCCCAGGGCACAGCTGGTCACCTGTCTTGGCACTGTTTCGCGATTCCAATGTCAGGATCAATAGTGGGCCCGCTGGCTCAATGCCAGCGATTAGCCTGACACCTCGCGGCAGACAGCGGAGATACTGGTTCAGCAGTTTTCGCTAGATGCCCTACGAGCTGTGATTTTGGGCAGCTTTCTGCAGTGTTCTTGATTCCAGTAGCGGCGAAACACCTTCAATTAAAGGCATAGGCGGCGGAACGGGGAGGGCACCGGGGCACCGTGCCCCCTTTGATTTTGACATTTTAACATTAGCCCTATGGGCGTTGCATGGAAAGAATGGGACCAAAAGTCAGCAGTGCCCCCCTTAACTGAAGGTGTTCCGCCGCTACTGATTAAAGGGGGGGGGGGGGGGGCACTGCCGACTTTTGGTCCCATTCTTTCCATGCAGCGCCCATAGGGCTTATGTTAAAATGCCAAAATCAAAGGGGGTACGGTGCCCCGGTGCCCTCCCCATTCCGCCGAAATGCTGGTCTGGTCAGTGGTCAGCAAGAAGAGATGCAAATATTGTTTATAGCTCTCACGTTAAACATAAGGTGTAGGCTAGGGCGAACATAAGGTGTAATAATGGAGGCCAAACGCCTACCCACTAACAATCCAAGTAAATTAAAGCTGAGAATTATCATGATAAGGTATATGCTAATGCTATCATTGTTATGCTGTCGGATGGGTATACCGACTGCCGACAATCGACACAGCTGTGCATTGTGTACTGTGCGGCACATTAAGTTATATAGCAAGACTTTTCATTTTATCAACTACAAGGGGCATACATTTTCTGTTACGCCTCGAATGACTGAGTTTCGGGCATCGTACTCTAGTATGCTATAAACTAATGAATATTTCAAATAATTTTACGGGCATCGGAAGTTCCAGTTGAATACGTTTAAAGGCCCTTACTCTATGTAGTTTAGAACCTGATCTACCGACAATCACAAAGTCATTTCAAAGTTCTGGGCAGCTAGACTGTCAGTGCCCTTGAACCCATTTAAACTCAGGACTCAGCATGTCTGACGTCCAAGCCTTTAATTAAAATCATATTTTTCTTCTTGTTTTATTATTTCCGCCGCTTTATTAATGACATGTCTGATAAATTCCACATGTCGTGCTAACAGCATCGCCTGTGAGACGAAAACATAAATCGTCAACAATTGAAAATAGTCCTAGAAACACCCGGCCCGCCTTATTTTATGTTTAGATAAGCCAAGTAGTTTCCAGTTACCAAGGAAGTGGGTAGTTCGTGCTGACAGTTGTCACTATTCACGTAATTTATCAGTGTCATTTCTGGACAGGCGTCAGCAACTAACCCCGCAAACGCCGCTCTTCAGTTGACAAATTTGTCAGCTCCGTGATTGGCTTCACGTCGTACTCCATGTCAAGCAGTCTGCCAGTCATTTAGAAGTTTGCTTACCGAGGTACTCAGTGTCAGACACCACGTGTAGCCAGTAGCTAACTTTGAGATGTCTAGTTCAAGATATGGAGATTAGGAGACCGTGTGATGTGGGGGTTTCGGAGAAAATGGAAACAAAGTAGCTCCAAAGTACTCATTGGTCTTCATTGGAGGCAGAGATGTTGAAATGCTGGACTTTCTGGTTTCCGTCGCTGAGTTAAGCTTGCCTCGTGCGTGGTACGCAGTCTAACTTGATGTGTAATGAAATTTAGAGACTGGAGAGGCTCTTAGTCTATCCATCAGTGCCTATAGAAGCGCATACCCATCGGTTCTGGTTAACTGGCTTGGCTCGATAAGACTATTCAGGTGATCGTTGCATGCTAATTCGGGGACTGAAATTGGCTGCTAACGAAATTTTGCTGTGAAGGGTAGAGCTATACTTCAATCGAATGATGTTAAGTTCTTTTCCTCTCGCAGCTGTACTTTTCTAACCCAGCTGTAAGTGCAATGTAACAACTTGGAACATCAATGTGAATAAATAACATCAAAATAAGCAAATTGAAAGTCTACGTTTTAATGCTAAACAAAAATGGTGTAGAATCTTCCATGACATTCTTCACCCGTACAAAATATTTTGCACGCACGTGCCTTGTCACGGGATTGTCACTATATGTCAACCCATTTGCACGTGACAATATAGCTGCGCATTACCTTCGCCAATAACTGCATCTCAACAACCTTGGTAATCAGTGCAATAGCCGGATCCAATCTTCTTCGGTATTTATGGCGTGGATTTGCCATCCTCCCACAGCAGAAAGCACAACAATGTCGCATAATTGGCTGGTTTTGGTAACCGGATATCTGTCGGAGGGGCGGATCCAGGATTTTCTTCGGCCAGGGTCCAATGGAATGGGGCGGCATGTTTTCCACCTGCCAGTGGCGGTAAAGTGCACGATTGGTATGCCCGTATAGTGAAAATGGAAGACAGCGTCCTCTGACTCTTTAGCTTCCTCTGATGTTATTTATGGATGTAGTGTTGATAGTGCTTCGGCGACCCGATTCGTCGCTTCGCCCATGACGGCCTTTTTTGCTGGGCTTCTAGCCCCCAATTTTGTTATTTATTTCGATGGGGCCCGAAATGTGCCTTTGTATAAAATGCATTGCAGTACGCACAGAGACACATGGCTGCTCCTATTGATTGGATTTTATAGATGTGAGGTGCTGCAATGTGCATTGTGCATTGTGCTAAATCATGGCTAATTTTGGATGATTTATCTCATTAAAATGCATGGATACCGTCCATGAATGAAATGCTAGGCCCTAGGGCACAAACAGGTGTACGGCTTGACGAAGTTGTTTAAGTTTGACAACTTTTCCTTGCACATGAACATCTCTTAAAAGCTGTCAGCTGTGTTCCTTTCTTTAGCTTAGTTAGATGTCCTAACTCTCACACTTGTATGGATTCAAATGGGCCTGGTCATTTCTGTGAACACAAAAACTGGAATGAAAATTACCGGATTGCAACGAAACAATTACGCGATATATTTAGTTCAGAAATGCATACCATTGTGGAAATTTACTACCTGAGCCTCTGCAGGGGCGGATCCAGGAAAACTCCAAGGGGAGGGTCATGAATCGAAGTGGTGCCCCTACCTATACCCAAAATTAAAAACTCAACGGATTTCGTCCACTTCATTTTGGTGGTGCCCCCATTTTCAGTTTTTTTTTCTTTTTAATTTTTATTTTTAGTCAGTATCTTAACTTTTGCCACAACCACATTTACCAATTGTAAGCAAGTATATATGAATGTGCTATGTGTATATATGTTGTGGACGCTGAGTAGTGAGTACTTACCAGGAACGTTATCAGGTAAGCGAATCGTTGTCAGTCCGACGAACTTGACCCTGGCGTCTAAAGGGTCTGTCCTTGACACTTCAGGCTTGTCAGGGGCACCAAAGTCCTTCCAGGGACACCACAAACCTGTCAGGGGCACCTACGGCCTTGTAGGGGCGCCACAGGCCCGCCAGGAAGCAGGGGCACCACAGGTCTAGCAAGTATACACGACAGGCCTGTCAGGGGCACAACGGGCCTGTTGGGCCCATGAGCACCCCTAGGGGCAGGGGCACCACAGTCCTTCCAGGGGCACCGCAGGCCTGTGAGGGGCACCAGCGGCCTAGCAGGGGCACCAGTCAACACAGGCCTGCCAGGGGCACCACAGACCTGCCAGGGGCACCAGAGGCCTGTCAGGAGCACCACCGACCTTGCAGGGGTAACTTGGGCCTGTCAGGGGCACCACGGGCCTGTCGAGAGGCACTTCAGGCTTTTCAGGGGCACCATAGTCCTCAGCCGGGCGCAGGGGTAGCAGGGGCACCAGAGGCCTGCCAGGGGCACTACAGGCCTAGCAAGGGCACCACTGGTCTATCAGGGGCACCACGAGCCTGTCATAGCCAGGCATCTCAGGCTTGTCAAGGCCCAGGGGCACCACAGGTCTGTGAGGGGCACCAGCGACCTAGCAGGGGCACCAGTCAACACAGGTCTGCCAAGGGCGCCACAGACCTGCCAGGGGCACCACAGACCTGCCAGGGGCACCAGAGGTCTGCCAGGGGCACCACCGGCCTCGCAGGGGCACCTTGGGCCTGTCAGGGGCACCACGGGCCTGCCGAGGGGCACTTCAGACTTTTCAGGGGCACCAGTCCTCTTAGGGCGCAGGGGTACCAGCGGCCTAGCAAGGGCACCAGAGGCCTGCCAGGGGCACCACAGGCCTAACAAGGGCACCACGGGCCTGTCAGGGGCACCTCAGGGTTGTCAGGGCCCAGGGACACCACAGTCCTTCCAAGGGCACCGCAAGCCTGTC